TCCCATCATCAAGCATGGCACCCGTTGCTTTGGAGCCATATTGCGGGAAGTTTTCCAACCGCCAATGGCGCCATCGGTTACAAGGGTGGTGCCATTCGCACACCAACTTTTCCTTTACACTGGCTGGGCTGCTAACCTAGCAAAGGCGAAATGGCGACAGCGGCGACTCAAGGATGTCTCAGTTTTGCATGGGTTCGGGATCTATCCGACGTTCAGATCCCTTCATCCCAATCCCGCTCCGTCAACGAATTTGACCTATTGAGGCTCACCGCAAGATGCGGAAGCTTTGCATCGGCTCCGTGGGGCCAAAGCTGCCGAGTACCACATTGACCCACCCCTGGTCAGTTCTCAATCTTTGTCGCCATATCGCCTGCTCCTTTCATTCTTGAGTTCCGCAAGTACAGCCGCTTTCCTCATCGACGCCATCAATTTGCTCTTCAGGCCCGCCCGCCGGTGCGAACCCCCTGGGGTATACTCGGGATCCGACCCACGTGGCTGCCCTTTGGAGGAACCCGGCGTCGTAGGCGGGTAAGACGAACCGCAATGGAAGGTGATTCCGCACTTGTGTTGGAGATAAGAGAATCACGGCACGGAAGGCTAGCGCTCCGAAGCAGACCGGCCCGGGCTAGCGCTCTTATCTTTTGGTCCAAATACAGCATGTTATCGCCCGTTCGCATCAAAGTCATGTAGGGGGCCGATCTCGTCCTCCCGGCTCGGTCACATTTCCCGGTTCGAACGAATCTCTTCTCAGCCAGAATTTGGCCATCTCATAGGAACCCAGATACAACCCGCTTCCCAAGGCCGTCCATGCCATCCGGAGCGCACCTCCCCGGAACAGTCCCCTCGTCCCGTTTTCGCGGAAGATGATCTTGGCCGTCTCGAAGGCGTTTCCAGCACCTCGCCGGGCTGGTGATGCGCTCCCGCTTGCCGACCCGCCACCGGCCGCAAGCATCATCCTCGTTTTCACCACGTCTGTGGGCGTGGTGAGCAACGCGGCAATCGATCCCGAAGTCGCGGCAGCCGCACCCGTTATCGCGCCGACCTCGATAAGGGCACCTCTGAGAGCATCCGAACGCGCCTCATTCGGTCGCATCTCGGCCTGCAGCCGACCTTCACTGATTGGTCCGGAGCCCGCAAGCAGAGCAGCATTACGGCCCCGCCGCCGGTCTCGCTGCTCCCACAGACGGGCACGTAGGAACTCGAACATGGGAAAATGCATGGCCGTGAATGGAAGGTTCCTCGCCGCGAGAGCAGTGTATCCCGACCACAGCCGGCGCCCGACACGTCCATCGCTGCGCAGCATGCGAAGGGCTCGTAGAGATGTCGACTCGCGCCCTTGGTTTCCGGATTCTCGTAGTACTTGAGCATTTTGCTTTATCACCTCGGCAGGCGTCAACACGGCACAAGATGCTAGCTCCGCGGCTCCCGACGCCAGTGCGTGCACGGCCGGCTGTGGTATCGCGGATGGGAGCACAGCTGCCAAACCCGATTTTGCCGCTTCGTATGACACAAAGAATACTCCGGCTGGGTGAAGCAATTAGCTGTCATGTCGCCGGGTCATGGGGAGCTGTTTACCTGCAGGCAGGGTCGCGATAACGACGCTTCCAATGCCCTGGTACAGGCCTTTGTAGAGACTCCTATAGGTGCTCGCGGCTCCTGATCGGTTGATGTACTGCTGGCTCTGATATCTAGTTTTTATGGTGTCAAGAGGATAAACCAGCAGATCTACAGTGAACGCGGCGACGGCGCCGGCCTACGGCCATTAGCGGTTAGCAGGAGATTGCATTACCCGGGATCCAGGAATCTTACCAGCACAACTTCTGTGTGTTTACTGTCCCTTGAAGTTGCCATCCCTCCAGATCATTTATGCTCAGGAATTGTGTGTATCGTGTCTGTCTGTCATTTCGTGACCTTGAGACAGGTGCATCCCCTCGAGAGTTGCGAATGACATCATCGCTGCTCGGTGAATAACGTGTCCAAGGTGGGGCTCCACTCTATCCAACGGTCCTGCAAAGAGTGAAAAGGAAACTCGGAAAGAAAAAGGTGAAAAGATCAAAAAGGGTTTTCGTCCAAGGTTTTAGATATGAAGTTCGAAGCTAAATAACATAACAAGCTTTTCGGATCGAAGAAGTGCAGACTAGATCGCACCGTGCAGGTGCTACCAACTTCGAAGATGTCAGGGGTTCCTTGAGTCACCTCTTACAGGAGAATCAGGTAAATAGGTACCGAAGAACTGAGCCTCACGTATCTAGGGATGTGAGCTGACATTAATACCTAGTGTTTCTTATCCAGGTTTTGTGGAAGGGATGTTGCTGGGCGAACGAACTTATGGATTAGATTATCCAAGAAGTCGTGAAGCCAGAGCATCCACTCGACAGCCAACCGGTTTGAATTTTTGAGAACTACGAGTTCTAAGTTTCGGAAAAGATATTTCGTGGGGACGTTTTGCCGAGCCTAACTGCCTCCCGTGTCGGAACTTCGACTGCGCTTAGTTCGGATATCCCGCCGTCAAACACTATCCGGCACTTCAGCCGAATCTCTCCGCTTCGTACCTTGCGCAATCCCGCACAACGCATGGCAGCCGGTGGTAAGAGAGTTGTGCGGGGCACGTTTCTACAGATATTCTATTGAACTGTGTAACGCACGCGGGCGCACTGGTAGCAGCCGACGCTGATCGTTGGCGTCAACAGGCCAGGCCGCAAGGCAACATTTGCCGCGGAAAAAGAGCATCCAAATTACTCCTTATACCAGAATTACACGGCGGCTAGTATGTCAAGTCGGACAGTGCCGTACATCTCCCGTGTTGACCAAGCAAACCTGCAGGTACGCCAAAAGCCGAGAAAGACAGGCACGCATCGCGGCACCCTTGCCGACATTTGGGACTCCTGTTACTGACCACCAACCCATCTGGGAGGATAACCCCGGAAATTCCCATATGGTAAGCAATTTATACCCCGCAAAAGGGAGTAAATATACATGCCGGCTCAAATCTACCCCAGAATTCCATGGCATCACCAGCTCTCCAACCCGTGCCGGGTTAGATTGGCTCTCCTCTGTGGTAGGTACAATAACGGCGGTGTTTGCTGCGCGAGTGTCTGCCTCGGCGATTGTCGCTACCTTGCTTCCTCCTGTCATCCTTGCGGCGATCTCCTGGTTCATTTCGTCTGTTGCTCTGGTTGCCCGGACTGGCTGTGCCACCGACTTGCGTTGGGACCGGACGTATATCAAGGGCCACCGCCAGTCTTTTCCGTTGGCAGGAAGAAATTCTCTCAAGAGCTACCAAGTGTTTTTGGTCAGTGAAAAATACCCAACATGGATTCGACACGATGCCAAACTTCTGTGCGCTTTCTGGCTTCCCTGTTGCTCATAGGGAGTATGGCCAGCGCTCAGCCTCCGCGGGCTGGGCGAGGTCAAGCCAATAAACCCATCATGCTGGACAATTCAGGAGGCTTCCAGATCGGGGGCGAGATCATCCACAGTCCCCAGAACCCGAATCTGACCCTGTCCTGCGATCACGGTTACATGGAATACTTCATCCCCACGAACGCGCGACAGACAAGCCTCGTCATGTGGCACAGCTCGTCGACACAGGTGTGGCAGAACCGCTGGGACGGCGGGCCAGGATTCAAGGACATGTTCCTCCGCCGCAGCTATCCCGTGTACCTGTGGGACGGACCACGCGTCGGGCGTGCCAACTGGGGCTGCGAGGCCCAGACGTACATTCCGGCCTACCGCGACCAGGGCAACTTCGCCGCCTGGAACTTTGGGCCCTCGTTCGGAAACTGGTGGCCCGACGTGCAGTTTCCGACCAAGAACGCAGCAGCGTGGCAGCAGGCGACCAGCGCGCGCTACGACGAGTTCGACACGTACAGCAACGTCGTGCTCCACGCGAAGGCTGCCTCGCGCGCCGCCGACTCGGGCAAGGTCGGCCAGAGCATCGTGTACCTGACCAACTCGGCCGCCGGGCTGCGCGCCCAGCTGACCGTGACCAAGAGCAACACGACCAACATCCAGGGGATTGTCGCCTACGAGAGCATTGGATATGTGTTTCCCGACAACGTCAACGTCACGCAGGACAGCTTTGGAGGGTTTGGCCCGGTCGTGGTTCCGCTCGCCGACTTCAAGAAGCTCGCCAAGCTCAAGGGGATTCAGTTCATCTGGGGCGATCACCGGTCTCAGACTGATTTGTACGTCGTACAGTCTCGTCGGTGCGCCGAGCTGATCAACATGTACGGCGGGAATGCCAAGGTCCTGATGCTCGGTGACGATGCCGGGCTCAAGGGGAGCACGCACATTGCGTTTGCGGATATGGATAACGACAAGGTTGCTGGTCTGTTGGACAAGTTTCTGGCCAAGAATGATCTGGATGGTTATGAGAATGATGATTCGGGAAGCTGGTGGGACTGGCGCCGATAGGGTGTCAGTACCTAGGTAAGGTTCTAGTCTGGACAAAGGTTACCACACCTAGGTATCTCAAAAGGTATCACCTGAACTGCTTCTGGTTGGTCTACGGTATGGAAAATACAGTGTTTTCTTCGCATGCGTGGCTGTTGAGTTTCATCCCAGTCTTGTCCTCTAGACAAATTTTGGTATCGAGAAGAATTAGATGATTTGTACGGGCGAGTTCGCGGGATCGTGCTTCAGTGAATCCCCAAGAGCCGTGATATCGGAAACCATCGTATCAAATTCAAATGGTCGGATGGTGTAGTTGGTTATCACGTCAGTCTAACACACTGAAGGTCCCCAGTTCAAACCTGGGTTCGATCATAATAGGATCGGAGTCCTGATAGATCAGGACTCTGATCCTTTTGGAGTTCCGAGTTTGTCTTTTTCTTTTTAGAACTAGCCAATAGAACGCGATCATTTAACGCTGAGAAAAAAAGAAACGTCCACTGTACTAGCGTGGGGGTTGCCCTTCTGACTCAAAACCACCAAGAACTGTCCCCGCAAGACATGGATTTTTATCATGATGGCATCCACAGGTAAAAAGAACTCATAACCGAGCATGCTGGGACTCGAACCCAGAACCTTTACCAGCGAGTTGATGAGGGTACCCCGGAAAGTAACGCGCTACCATTGCGCCACACGCCCTGGATGTTATGTTGGAGCAGGATGCTTAGTGTGATCGGCTGGGTAACAGCGTTTTGTGTCTGGTGTACATTTAGATGGCCTCTGGATTTAGGGACTCGAACCGGTGACATTATAGACCCGAGATACTCAAGGGCTAACAATTACCGGTACGTTTCCTGTTGGCAAGACATTGTGCTCCGCGTGTGCTCCGTGTTGGGGGACTTTGCGAGGCTGAGTTAAAGGGCCGAGAAGGTCTTGCATCCTATGCGCAGAAAAGCTATCGCGAGTTGACGGTAAGCCAAAATGTGTATTTTGACATGAGATGATAAGAGTCAACCCTCGACTGTTGAAAGTCAAGTCTTGGCCGCACTGGAGAGTTTGCCGATGAACATGTCGACTCTTTCTATGGCGCAACCACTAGCTCCGACGAATTTGTGCACTCTGATCACAGACACATGATCCGACCTGGGAACCAGTACTATGGCGTGATTAGACGTGCTGGATGTTAGTGGGTGTTCAAACGAAGGTGCAGTCTTCTTGAGGCTCCTCTATGAATTCGAGGCTCTGATTGGCGGAGCCCCCATCCCGTCACACACCACAATGTTGACGCCATGGAATACGAAGGCGGGAGAGATAGGCGTATACGTACCAGCAGCACTGTTTAAACCAGAAAACTTAGGCACTTGTTTGCCAGTTGCTAACATCGATGGATAATATCAATTCAAGACGCGTTACTCTGAATGGTACCGCCCCCCTGGTTTGGGTTTGGCTAGTTGCTGCCGAGACCAGGCGACAAATGGGAAGGGATTGCCGGTCCGAAACTGGAGAGAAAGCGAAACCGAGCCTCCTGGAAGTACTACGGCGCTCCATGAATTAAACCCGATCAGACTTGCACTATCTCCGTTGACATCCCACGGTCGAATCATTGCGGCATGCAGTTCCGCAAGCTCGTCATCAATCTGTTGCAACTGATTTGACACAGACGAGATAGTAATGCGGGGATTGGGTAGTCGCAGGATCAAGGTGTGTTCCAATTTGGGGATGGGATAAGACGAAGGTGATGGATATAAATGGCCGGATGGTCGACCGGGACACAGCCATTCCAGTTTTCTGTCACCCATACAGTCTCTGTTGAATTACCAAACCCCCAAGATAGTATTCCTATCATACCGACACCACCACAATGGCTCCATCCGCGATCGAAACGGAGTCCCAGCCTGAGACCGTCCGAGTCGGTCGGAAGCCTCTCCAGTTGTCGGGAGCCCTCAATGCGTATGAGGCGTTCGATGTCACCCCTGTCATTGGTCGCGAGTTTCCCAAGGCCAATCTGGTTGAATGGCTCGAGGCACCCAATTCCGATGATCTCCTTCGTGACTTGGCGATCACAAGTACGTCGATCCCCTTCAACAGTCCCTTCAAGCCCGCTGACAGTGAAAGTCTCACAACGTGGCGTTGTCTTCTTCCGTGCCCAGGATAACCTCGACAACGAGCTGCAGAAGAAGCTGATCCTTCGTCTGGGGGAACTTACCGGCAGACCGGCAACATCAGGACTACATATCCATCCCCTGCTCAACTCGGATCGCGAGCTCGGGGGCAGCGACCCCGAGATCAGCACCATCAGCTCTCTCCAGAACAAGCAGTACTACCGCAAGGGTGTAGCCAGTGAGCTGAGCCCCAAGAAGCAGAGCTCGGCCCAGTGGCACAGCGACATCGCCTTTGAACCGGTCCCGGCTGACTACACGTCGCTGCGTCTCGTCGAGCTGCCGACCACCGGCGGCGACACCCTCTGGGCCTCGGGCTACGAGATCTACGACCGTCTCAGCGAGCCCTACCAGAAGTTCCTTGAGGGTCTGACCGTCACCTTCGAGCAGCCTGGCTTCCAGCAGATCGCCGAGAAGGCCGGCTTTACGCTCTACGACAAGCCCCGTGGCGCGGCCGAGAACGTCGGTACCGAGCTCAAGGCTGTTCATCCTGTTGTCCGCACGAATCCCGTAACTGGGTGGAAGAGCATCTTCCCCGTCGGCGGCCACGTCAAGCACATCAATGATGTTACCGAGGAGGAGAGCCAAAAGCTGCTGAGCTGGTTCCTGGATCTCGTGTACAAGAACCACGACCTGCAGGTCAGACTGAAGTGGCAGAATCCCAATGACATTGGTGAGTTTTATCACATTCGATGACGACGGGAGATATCGGGATACTAACGAAGCGCTCAGCCATCTGGGACAACCGCTCGGTCTTCCACACGGCCACCTTCGATTATTTGGATGGATCGTACGGCGAGCGTTTTGGCAATCGTGCTGTCGGGCTGGGAGAGCGCCCTTATTTTGATCCTAATAGCACTTCGAGGAGGGCCGCGCTGAGCACAGCGGCTGCTTGATCAACTGGGAATATTCATATGCGCAAACACGGCTGTTATTGATATGTACCTATCCTCCACTTATCTTATGTTATCCGTACATCTGAAGTGCTGTCTGTAAAGCAATGATTCAGTATCCGCAAGTTTGTGACCCCCCCTGGATGCCTCGGCCCACGATTCAACCCTTGTGTATCTTGCTCTTCCACAACTGGAAGACCACGCGTTCATACACTCCACTGTAAGCGCCGGGCTGCGACTCGGATTCTTTCTATTGCCGGCCTCGGGAGAGTTGGAGCCCCGTTTAGAGTAAGACGCTAGGCATCAGTAATATCGGAAGGCAGTTGAGAGGATGGAGACGGGCACCCCTGGCCGTTGTCGGCTCCGGACTGCCAGTGACAAGTGGACGCCAAGAGGCGGAAGCGGCCGACTGAAGCTAAGGCATTTTGGCGGATACTTTTAGCTAATGATCGATCAGGTCACATCCATGGGTGTAGACCGTAGAGATGTCATTCGGCAGTGGGCCTGCCGTGAGACCGGATTCTTTGGCAGTAATTGGTCAAAGATATCAGGGAATCGCGATGTGTTGATGCAGACAAGGGGATTGGGAGTTGCCTGCCCGAGGCACATCCATCCCCACATCAGACTCGTCCTTTCCTTCGAGTTCTAGGCGGATCCCTCGCTTCAGCCAAAGTGCGCTAGGGCCTGCTTCCACATCCTGGCATCACCGACCACTCCGCTGGTCTTCAGGATAGAGTAAACAGAACCATCGCCAGCCACTCCTATTAATACTAGGCCTCGAAACAGGGCTTTCCTACGTGAGCTCCGACTCCACGATGGACACGTCGACATAGTCTAGAAATCCTACTCTAGATTCCGTCGCCATATCGTCGGGAGCACTGCCTGTTTATCTCTTGTAATCATCACGTGGCACTTCTCGCTGTGGGCTAGCTGCGCATTTGATGCCAGTAGCGTCTGCCGGACATAAATAGTCGCAGTGGGGAAACTGACACGCATTCTCTGCAGAATGTTATCGAGCGTGAGTGAGCAACGTGGGACGAGTATTTCGGTGAGCGGGTGCGGGGTTGGCGCTGGTAAGAGGCGGTCAGTCGGGGGGGCCAATCACAGATGGTGGAGGGGGCAGCTTGCCGGAGTGCACAAAAGCATCGCACCCGACAGATTGGTACCGGCATTCTCCCCTCCAGAAACTTTAACCGTCCGTCGAAGGAGGGGGGGAACCACATCGAGGGAAACCGGCAATGTCAACCCGGCCAGCAACGGCAACAGGGGGAGGCGCAACAACAAATGTGCTCGAGTCCGAGAACCCGGGCCCGATCCAGGTCGACGACGCAGTAAGCCACCAACTGACCCTCCCGTGCCAGAATCCCGGGTCCACTGTTCTGATCGGGGGGCAACTCTCCCAGCTTGAAGATGCCGATTCCGCCATCGCATCTACTCTGTGAGCCTCCTCCTCAGCTTGGCAATGGCAACTTGCACCGTCTAATCTGGATTGCAGATCCAGCTACACACGCCCCCTCACATCCAGTGCTCTGGATTACCCCATAGAACATGGACGGCGCTACCACGCCTTCCGTCCCGGGAGTAAGCCCCCTCGCCGACATGTTCCGCGTAAATAACGTCACTGGTGGTGCTAACACCTTGTCGCAAGGCTATTCCATGCCGAATGATCAGGTTGAACTGTCCCCCCAATACCTGTCCATTTGTTGGTGGTTGCTAACGTTGCGGGTTGCCCGTATCTAGCATGAAATGGACCGACTTGACTTGATGCACGAGGTCTTCACCAGGGCTCTTGGCCGCCAACTCCACCTTGCACCGATTGACCTTGCAAGAACGCACCGTGTCCTTGATATGGGAACGGGCACGGGAATCTGTATGCCTAAATTCCTTGTTGCTGACGCTCAGACCAGAATACTGATCAAGTTTGATGTTAGGGGCCTTGGACTTTGCGGATCAGCATCCCGGGATAGAGGTATGTCTTCTCCCTCGAAAGACTCCACCACAGACAGTGCTTAACGGTGCCATCTGCATTAGGTTCTCGGAAACGACCTCAGCCCTATACAACCGTTTTGGTATGTCGGAGGCGCAGCCAACCAAAGACGTACCTTCTGACCGAATATGACAGGATTCCTCCCAACGTCAAATTTGAAGTGGACGACATCGAGAGTCCATGGTCTTACCATGCCCCCTTTGATTTCATCTTTTCTCGTTACCTTGTCTCTGCTATCCGGGACTGGCCATCACTGGTTCGAAATGTCTTCGAGTGAGTCCTGATTGTGCTGGGCTGCATGCCTTGAGCCAGCTGACATGAGTACAGCAATCTCCGCCCTGGTGGTTGGGTGGAGTTTCAAGACTATGAAATGATGGTCCGCTCCGATGATGGGACTCTTACCGAGCAAAGCAGCACGCACAAATGGATTCACCTAGAAGTCGAAGCAACCTTGAGAGCCGGGCGAGAACCGAATCCCGGCCCACAGCTCGAAGGATGGGTTAGGGACGCCGGGTTCGTCAACATCACGCACCGAGTATTCAAGTTGCCCTTGGGAGCATGGCCTAAAGACAAGGTTCTCAAGGAAATTGGTCTCTTCAACCTCATGGCTTGTCTCTATGGCCTCGAGGCCTTCAGTTTGCGGTTGATGTGCGACGTATT